ATCAGAGCAACTCCAAGGTGCAGGGATAAGGAAGGAGAGTTTTCATGAGTTCAGGAGTTGCTGGGAAAGTTCGGAGGGTAACAGTTCGGAGGGAAGTTCGGAGGGAAACAGTGCCTAATCCCATCCAACGGAAGCCCTTGTGCAGGGTACCACCTAGAGCTTGGAGAAAAGCCAGGAAGCTATACAGGTGTGGCTGCCAGCCATCTGTGAAGGGGGAGCTTGAGGCACAGGGCGTGGGAGCTGCAGCTTCTGTGGGTCCAGTGGCTGAACAAGGGCTGGGGGCTGCTCTGAGCCAGCGGAGCCAGCAGGGAGATGCGGGAGGCAAGTGAGGACATTCTGGTACCTGTGCACTGTTCATTGTCATGTTTGACAACACGACCCTCGGCTACTTCCCTTCAGGCTTCCCAATTCTGAGGGAGCACGTCTCATTGGACAACTTTAGCCCAGAACCATACATAGAAGGGAATTTTGAGAGCAGTCAAGCCATGTTGGCAGTGGACACTCCACCTTAGAATCTGCAGTTTAAGAAAAGTAATTTTCTAACTGGTGTCCTCTTACAGGACATTAGAAAACTGGAGCATTGCTGAAGTAAAGAAACAAGAGTAATGCTTCCAAGGCAAAGGGTTATGGCTTAAAGAATGAACACACATGCGTATAGGAAAGATCCAGAAACCATACTCTTCTGATTTGATTCTCTGCTATTACTCAGTTATGGAAGATGGGTAAATAGTAAAAAGTTATAAATAGTAGGAAAAACAGCTTTATATTGAATTTGGTGATGGAAATGACACCATGGTGAGGAATATATAAAGCAATTAAACATTTATTTTAACATATTTCTTAAATATGTCAAAAGATACAAAAGCGGCTGGGTATGGTGGCTCACGCCTGTAATCCTAGCATTCTGGGAGGCCAAGGCGGGATGATCGCTTGAGGTCAGGAGTTCCAGACCAGCTTGAGCAAGACTGAGACCCATGTCTACCAAAAACAGAAAAAATTAGCAGGCCATGGTGGCATGCACTTGTCCCAGCTACTCAGGAGGCTGAGGCAGGAGGATCATCGCTTGAGCCCAGGAGTTTGAGGTTGCTGTGAGCTAGGCTGACGCCATGGCACTCTAGCCTGGGCAATAGAGTGAGACTCTATTCCCCCCGCCCCCCAAAAGATACAAATATTGACAGCTACACAGTGGAAAATCTTTTAGACCGTTTACCTTATTAGTAAAAAACTATAAATTCATTATAGTTAATTATTTGCTCGTGGGATAGGTCAAAGAACTTTATGAAAAAAATCCTAAAAAATGTATTAGTAAAATGCTTGGTGTGAAGAGTTTGGTGAAGCAGGGATCCTGCCTTTTAGGACATGATGTGCAAGGGTGGGAGCCATACATTGGCAGGTTATTTCACTAGATAAGTGCTGTGATAGGGAAAAGCGCAAGTACAGCAACATAAGCTCTCGGAAGAGGCGATACCTAAGCAGAGACCTGTCTGATAAACAGGAACAAGCCAGGGTAAGAGGAAGGAAGGGGTGCAGACTCGAGGTTCAAGGAGAAGAGAGCTTCTGTTGGGTTGATCGCACTGTGGTTGCTGGAAGGCCTGGAGGAGGTGCGCCGGGAGGGTGAGGTAGGGGAAACGTTCACAGCTGGGCTGGTCAGTCTCATAGGGACCAGATCTCAAGAACGGAAATTCTGCACCTAGTCATGCTCCAGGGTTTCCCCGATTTACTAGACCCATGGCACAAGGAAGACATTGCACAGTCTTGGTGGAAATCAAATGGGAATATATGGGGTGTGATGCATTTTTGTCTTAAAACAGAGCTAAGACATGACCTCATATTAATAGCTGAAAGAAGTGGTCAAATTTGATTCATGCAGGAGGCTGAGGCAGGAGAATCACTTGAAACTAGGAGTTTGAGACCAGCTTGGCAACATAAGGAGACTTCATCTCTTAAAAAATAAGAAAAATTAGCGAGATGTGGTGTGCATCTGTAGTTTCAGCTACTCAGGAAGCTGAGGTAGGTGGATAGTTTGAGCCCGGGGATTGGAGGCTGCAGTGAGCTATGATTGAGCCACTGTACTCCAGCCTGGGCGACAGAACAAGATCACATCTCCAAAAAAAGAAAAAAAAAAAAAAGATTTATGCTGACTCATGCATTCTAAAAATATTTTATAAAAACAGCATTAAAAAAATACAAAACAGTCTGTTTTACTCTCACCTTCCATAAGTATTTATCGAGCATCTACTATTTGCTCTGCATGATTCTAAGTGTGGGATATAGGCACGAACACAAAAAAAGTCGTTGATACCATGGAGCATGTAAGAGGAGACAGACAAACAAATAAACAAAAAATATATCATATGATTTAGAGCCACACACCTTGAAGGAATTCTTGCAGCCCGTGACCTGGGTGGGCATTCTGTTATCTCTCTACTTTGGGACTTGGATGAAACACCGAACTCATATGTTGTCTGCAGAAGATTCTTATGAATAGGGCAAGAGTTAGTTCCAGGCATTTGAGATAATGCTGCAGGGGGCTGATTGAGTCCAGAAAGAGGGGCCAGAATGAGTGGACATGGGGTAATTCGACATAAAAATGGGTAAAGCAAGAGTGGAAGATTATAGGACACAAAAACTGACAGCCAGCTGGAGGGGCAAAGCTAAGTTTTGTAGGGCCTGAGGCCTATCACATTTTAGGGGCTTCCTTAAGAAAAAGAATACAAAATTAAGAACAGAAAATTAGGTACAAAAATAAATATTTATTTAAGTGAGAAATGCATCACAAGTTACAAATTTTAAAATTAGGCTAATCGCATAAACTTCAACAAAATTCATAAGAAAAATGTTTTAATGAACTATTTGAAACAACTCTATAATACTATTTTCTCCTACATTTTTCTGTGTTATACTCTTTTATCACTTCTTCAGTTTTATAACATAAAGAAGAATAGAAAGATATTTCATACACAGGTGAACTTTCTCTTTGTGGTGCTACGACAGGTTTGTGTCCTTACAAACAAAAAGAATTCAGATCAATTCTATTTCATGTGAGCCCCTCCAAAAATGTACGGTGCATTTATAATTGTATCTGCTGCATTTAGAGTACAGGCATATTCCTTACAGAAGAGAATTTCCCTTTTAATCAGATTTAGCTGAGAAAGCCAAACCTTCTCTAACAATGCTATGTGTTTTATGATGGAAAGAATTGCCACGGTCTAGCTTCCGGCTCTGTTCCTCTAAAACTCTGCTAGTCCTTTGCTATTGGAACCCTTCCAATGTGGGGAGTGTAGGACAGACAGTTCAGGTAGACACCAATGCGACTCTCAGAGAGGGTAGTAGGTGTGTCACTGGTAGCCATTCCTACATCTGGATGGCTAGCAATGACACTACTACACGGAACTGTAAACCACACAGACGTAGCCCATCAAGGCCAGGGCGACGGAGAGGCAAGCCAGGTACCTGCAGCTCAAAACTTAAGGGAGCTCAGATTCACGCAGGTGCAACATTCACTCCTGAGAGTAAGAGTCCCCTTAAAATTTGCACCCTTGACACTTCCTTTACCTCACCCTCATCCTGGCTCTATATCCTATTAAATCCAAACAAAATGTCTCCCCAAATTCACTTTCCTTGGCTTGATCCCTGAAATGGACATGGCTACTTGAAAGCTACTCAATATGAGGGTAAATTAGAGTTATCCTCTAAAAAGACACTGTGGACTTAACTTGTGGTGGTTAAAATATGTTTGCAAAATTTACAGAAATATATTACCATGTACTCACATTGCTAGGTCTCCTGGGGCGTTGGAAGATGCTCTCTGTAAGTCAGGGGCCCTGGATTCAAGCTTCTAGCTTTTTGATAAATCCATCTCTGCATTCCAGCCATGGCCGTACTTCCAAGTCTGACTTTACCACACCAGCTTATTTTTGCCTTCAGGATCTTGGTTAGAAGCTCAGGCTGTGGAGCTAGACTCTTTGGGTTTGGACCCTGGCACTGCCACTTATTAGCTTGTGGAATCCAAATACATTACTTAATATCTCAGTGCCTCAGGTATTCTCATCTGTAAAATGGGTATAAGCAATGTTATGATTAAAGAAATCAGTTCATGCAGAGGGCTTACAACAATGTCTGGCATGTTATAAAAGCTCAATATTTATTAGCTATTGTTATTTTCACTGCTACTAGTAATAGTATTGTATCCATATTAATAGTATGTGGCTTTCCTCACACCACTGTGTAAATCCCCATCAGTCTTCGTATTCTGTCTAGGCCTGGAAGAGACATCTCATTTTTTGAATGGACTGTTGGCTACATGTAGGAGGAAGGCAGAGAGAGAAAGGAATCAAAGATAAACGGAATATTTTTTTAGATAATATTAACGTCTCCAAATTACGTTTAAGTAAATGAAGGAACTGGGGCCATAAGGAAATCTGCTGGGCCATCCACGTATAGAGGTTCATGGCATGCCAAAAGGAAAAGTCCAATGAACATTAACAATGGAGCTGGCATCCTTTTGCTTCAATATGAAAAAAAATCACACGACCGGTAGTAGTTTGACTTAAAAAAAAAAGTTGCCTGTTAATTAAGTCTCATTTACAGAACGTGCCGCCAGGACACTTCATTATCCCCCTTGGGTGGAGCGCCGTGGCAGGCGGGAGGCCGCACTGAGGGGAAAGGAAGAAGCTCAGGTTTCCCGGTTCGCATGGGCGCCAGAAAGCGGAACCGCCCCGGCCGGTGGAGCTGTGGTCGTTGTCTCGGGAGCTGGGGAGGAAGCTGCCCAGAACGTGCGTTCCAGGTCCCCAGGCGCCGGTGTCCGCAGCCCCGCCTGGCCGGCCGCCGCGCCTCCTCGGGAGCTGGTGCAGGGCCGCGGCGCGCCGACGGGTGGCGCTGTGGCCTCGCTCCGGGGCCGATCCGCCCGGCAGGACCCGCCTCTTTCCCCTCCCCGCCCGCCCACCCGCCCCCCACGCGTCGTGTCGCGGGGAAGCCGGGCGGAGACAGAGCGCTCGGGCTCCACGGCGCTCGGGCCGCAGTGCTCCCGTCGCGCGAGGCAGAGCCGGCTGGCGCCGCTGCAACGCGGAGGCGCGACCCTCCCCGGCCGCCTTTGTCTGCAAGGCGTGCGGCCTGGAACGGCCGCCTTCGGGGGCGGGGGACGCGCCCGCGGCCATCGGTGACAGCTCCTCCCTCCCGCAGCCCTCCGTGGCAGAGGGGCGGTCGGGCAGGGCCCTGCTCACTCGCTCCTGCACGTCGGCGCGCGCGGGCCGATGCCCCCGCAGCAGGGGGACCCCGCGTTCCCCGGCCGCTGCGAGGCGCCTCCCGTGCCGCCGCGCCGGGAGCGCGGGGGACGCGCGGGGCGCGGGTCCGGGGAGCCGGGGGGCAGGGGGCGCGCGGGCGGTGCCGAGGGGCGCGGCGTCAAGTGCGTGCTGGTCGGCGACGGCGCCGTGGGCAAGACGAGCCTGGTGGTGAGCTACACCACCAACGGCTACCCCACCGAGTACATCCCCACGGCCTTCGACAACTTCTCGGGTGAGCGGGGCTCGGGGCAGCGGGGTCAGGGCTGGGGGCGCGTGTCCGCTGTGCGCCGAGGGCTCCTGAGGCCCAGCTCCCGCCGGGAAGCCGAGCAAACGCGGAGTGCGGGACGTTTCTGGCCTCAGGGACGGCGCAGGCACGGGGCCACTCGAGGGGACCGCCGCGGAACGCGGAGCGCCCAGACCCGAGCCCGGGGAGGGGTGGGCGGAGCGGCAGGCAGAGCCGAGGGAAGAAGAAATGACCTCCCCTGTAGTAACAGAGCAGCAGGAGTCAAGCAGGTGGCGTTCAGGCTGCCGGGTCGGTTTACTGCATGGAGAAGTTTCGTCAGGGCGACGTTGCTGGCGCCGCTGCCGAGTTTCAATCGGAAGGCGACGCGCAGGTGCTTTCACCTGTGGCCCTGAGTGTCGGTCCCTCCCTTTCAGGCGGCTCAGCTCGCAAGGGGCGTCTCCACTTTAAAGAGCCGCAGAGACGCCGGGAAATACTTGATTTAGTGAAACAGCCCGAGCGGCCCTGGTGAGGGCTCAGGTTTGGATTAAACCTGGAGAGTAAACAGCGTTTCTTTTTCTTCTGAGTCCCACGCCGCCTCTGCCCCCGCTCGCCCGCATTGGCTCTGCTACTTATTGTTGGTATCTTTTCAGTATCTCTTTAAAGCTGCTTAAAGCTCTCATGTGTGGGGTGCTATGTCATTTGGTTTGGTGGATACAAAGACAGAGGAGTCCTTTATCTTGATTTTTCAGATCTTTTTGAAATTTAAGAAAAAGTAAAAATTCACAGACAGTAAATTCAAGACATTTACTGTCTGCCTCCTTAAATTGCTTCTCTGACCTTTCTTTCATCTCAAAGGTACCCTAGATAAAAAGGTGCTATACGAGTGGGTTCCCACCACAGGGTATTGTTTCTTTTCTTCCCCCCCCCAGCTGGCTAGTATAAACATTTATAAACAATTAGAAAGTTGTGTAGAAAGAGACAAAACGGAGTGCTTAATTAAAATAGAAACTTCCATGCCTTGCTGTGCTGCAGACCCCTCCCCCTCCCTGAGGAGGAGGAGGTGGACACAGCTTTCTTTCCTTTTTTTTTTTCTTTTTAAATCCTCTCTTTGAACTGACAGAGAGATAAGGAGTGCCCTCTTTTTAAAACAGGATGATGTGGGCAGCCTGTGTTTGCACATGTTCTTAAAACAAACTAGAATTTTATGATAAACCCTGAAGTTGGGGGGCATTTCCCCAGGGAAAACAGAATTATTTGTGAGGTTTTCCACTGATGTAAAACTGGAAGGTTGGTTCCCACTCTCCCCCCTAGTGTTGTTTTTAGGTCCTTTGAAACAAGTGTGACAGGAAAATAAATCTCCCAGGGCTGGGAGAAAAGCACAGGCCCTTCTAGAAGTGCCATCAAAGGGCTCAGGGATTTGCTGCCTCTTTCCTGGCAATGGAGTGAATTGCCAGCCCTGAAAGTTTTGTATACAGAAATGCCTCCAAGGCGCTTCCTTGTTTTAGGCAAGTCTTTAATTCATTAGAGGACCTAGGATAGGAGCTGAGGGGTTTCGAGTGAGAATCATAGGGCATACCTAAAACTATCAGTTTTCTGAAAGGGGTTAAAAGACACCTCCTGATTGTCATTTGGGTCTTGTTTTTAAGCTGTGGTGTCTGTGGATGGGCGGCCTGTGAGACTCCAGCTCTGTGACACCGCCGGACAGGTCAGTATCATGTTACAGCTCAGTGCTGGGAAAGGAAACAGGCTTTTAGAGGTTTCCAAACAACCTTTGACGAGTTTCCAAATGAAGAGTTTCCAAATGATTCCCGCAGTAACTGGGTCATTCTAAAGTGGCATGAAGTAGACCCACCCCTGCTGTTGGCCCCTGGGGCAGGGGAGCGCCAGTGAGGACACAGAGGAAGGTAACTCCAAACTAGTAAAACAAGGTTTGGCCCAGCTCTGTATGGCCAGGAAAGGGAGGAAACAGGGTCAGCAACAGCTCTTACCTTATAGGACTTTCTGATATTACTTTCTGGTTTTTATAAAAAGTTTCAGTCATGCTTTGTAATCATTTCTCAAAGTAAGTTAGTGATATCTTATAATTATGTTATTAAAGGTCAACGAGCTAGATATTTAAGACATTTGCTAAAGAAAAAGATGGTGTTCACGTCCCTAAGTGTTAAACCTTCCCTTCCTGAGCTGTGGGTGGGCTCACTAGGACCAGCCCTGTCCCTTGAAGCAGAGGTACATTTGTCAGAGCAGTCCTAAGCTGCAGGAATGAATGAACTGGGCTTATTCTTTCCAGATCATGAGCATTTATTCTTGTCTCACTGGCCGGCCAGGTCCTTGGAGGAAACAGCCAGGAAGTGATAAAGAGGGTACAAGTGTGGGAATCCCCCTTGATGCTCTCCAGAAGAACTTGTTATCAACCCTTGGTGGGCGCTCAGGTCACTGAAGTCATGCTGTGCCTATGAGCACCCAGGGTGCTTGAGTTTGCCGAAGCAACAGTTAATGGACTTGTTGTCTCTCCAGTACTTTCTAGAGCTCAGTAAAGTGCTGGGGGGTACTTTGTAGGTAGGTGAAAGAGCCCACTTCACTTGCTGAGGTGCCATCATATCACCATCTGCCTTTATGAAGTAGGCTTTCCAGTGTCCTCAGAGCCTCCTCTAAGCCAGTGCCTTCATCAGGTTGCTCACCTACTCTGGGACAGCAAATCCAGAGCTGGGGACAGATTTTATTTTTTTAAACCTCAAGGTGACACAAGACTGGCTAGTCTGGATCCCCGAGGAACACCAGTCTGGTGGAGGCCATGGCAGCATGAGTTGTAATAGCCCAGCCTGGGAGCATCTCAGCTTCCCCTTTACTGTGAGCAGAAAAAAACAAGAGCTATTTGTTTTTCATTACCTGTAGAAAATAAAAATCAAGACCCCGCCTGCATGGCCCATACCTGTAATCCCAGCACTTTGGGAGCCCTAAGCCTGAGGATCCCTTGAGGCCAGGAGTTCGCGACCAGCCTGAGCAACTTAGTGAGACCCCTGCCACCCCCCCGCAACATCTTAATAAATAAAAAAATTAGCTGGGCATGGCGGTGCATGCCTGTAGTCCCAGCCACTCGGGGGACTGAGGTGGGAAGATTGCTTGAGCCCAGGAGTTTGAGGTTACAGTGAGTTAGATGATGCCACTACACTCCAGCCTGAGAGGCACAGTGAGACCCTGTTTCTAAAAAAAAGAAAATGAAAATCAAAGAACACAGTGTCTTTTAGTGCTTAATCTTTCTGAATGCCATGCTGGCATTTATAATTCAAGCTTCATTGCTCTGTATAAAGTAGGGATGTTTTGGCTACCAAGGGTCAGGTTTTCTGATTTTTAAAATGTAGGCAGATGGCCGGGAGCAGTGGCTCACGCCTGTAATCCTAGCTCTCTGGGAGGCCGAGGCGGGTGGATTGTTTGAACTCAGGAGATAGAAACCAGCCTGAGCAAGAGCGAGACCCCGTCTCTACTAAAAATAGAAATTAATCGGACAACTAAAAATATAGAAAAAATTAGCCGGGCATGGTGGCGTGTGCCTGTAGTTCCAGCTACTCGGGAGGCTGAGGCAGGAGGATTGCTTGAGTCCAGGAGTTTGAGGTTGCTGTGAGCTAGGCTGATGCCACAGCACTGTAGCCCAGGCAACAGAGCAAGACTGTCAAAAAAAAAAAAAAAAAAAAAAACGTAGGCAGAGGAGTATCTTAGTAAATGTAGGCATCCTTGCTAAAGTACAAGCCTGAGGATGAGAAGAAAGACAGGAAAACGTGCAGTCTAAAAGCACGGTTCCCAGGGACCCTTCTGGGGAGGAGCAGCAGCTCAGTGTTCCTCCCCACCTGTGGACGCCACTGGTCACACTGGGCTCCTGGTGGGTGCTGGCTATCCACGCAGGACGTAGCTTCCTGAGCTAGGTTTTACGTCTGCTGCCCGGCACATAACAGGGCCTAATCTCATGGCTTTAGAATGGGTGAACGAGTGGAGTGTTAGGTTCTGGGGTCATAAACCTGCCCCTCAACAGACTTGCCGTCTGCAGGGAGGACAGACCCGTTTGTAGAAGCTGGTTCAGGAATAAGTGAAGGGAGGGGAGTGAAGAGGGAGACAGCCTCGGTGCAGAGGCACAGGCCAGCTGGGCCTGGGAGAAAAACCTCCAAGCAGAGTTTTGGAAGAGGAATAGATTTTTTACCAGAAAAACTTTGTAAAAATGACTCTGAATTATCAAGGAAGAGTTAGGTGTTTTTTCCTTAACTGTTTAAAAGTCAAGGAAGCACAAGAGTCATTTTAGAAATGTTTTCACACAAAAAAGTTTATAGGTAGGGAAAAACAAAGGTTTTGGTGCTAAGTTGGTAAGCTGCAGTTTATTTGGAAGTTATTCTTCTGGTCTCCCTGCAGTGTTTTCCGTGAGATGTACTGTGTTTTTAACTTTCATGTACTGATTCATAGAGAGTGCCCTACTAAATAACGAAGGCAACCATCTAAAAATTTGTAGAAAACCAACTTCGAAAACTATTTGTGGAAAATGCGTTACTGGTAAAACAAAGTCAGGCTCTTGTGTTCCTTCCTGCTCCCCCAGTATAAATCAGTGTTTGTCTGACTACTAGCGCCGCTGGCCAAGGTGGTAGCTCTTTTCTATTCTTCTTGGTCCTGATGTGATAAACTACCTTTTCAACTTGCTCGGACACCTGCCATGTTTTTCTTTTTTATGGAGGAAGGACACATTCCTCCCATGGCAGTTGTCATGATAGCCTCCGGGGTTAAGAAACTCCATTGAGCTCCATGAGCACAGATAGGCCGGAACATGGTGCGTGAGTGTGGGTTTCCCATGGAAGCTGATGAGCTGGGAGCAGAGTACAGCTCTATTGGCTGAATAAATAACCAGAAATCACTTCTTGTGTCTTTGGCTTTTCTTGTTAGGGAGGTTAGGTGAGTCTGTAAGACGTCAAAGGGGATTTTTAACACTAGACTCATAGTCTCACTCAAGTGCAGATCAGAGACAGACTGTGGACTTGAAATAACATACCTTTGGCGTAAGAGAAAGTCGTAGTGCTGAAATGGGAGTAGTTCACCGCAGCATTGCCAACGGGAGCTGAAAAGTCTTCAGCCTTTTGACCCATGAGGTACCTGGAAAATCTTTTTTACTTTTTTAAATTTTTATTTCTTTCTTCCAGGTTTTTGGAAAAATCTTTATACTTAAAAAGAAAAAAAATCAGGTTGCAGCCAGACCAGAGGGATGCTATAATCCAGATTATTGTCTCTGCCCTTCCCTCCCTGAACAGAATCCTGTGCAGTGTCTATTCCACAGACCTGGCAAGCACGTGGAAATTGCTTGCCCTTAGAATACATTTCTTTGAGAGTGCATTCCAATTGGTCTCGTTGCTCGTGTGTATTGCATTATTTCAGCAAATATCTAAGGTTTCTGGTCAGGCACCGAGCAGGAGTGTTTAATTTCTGTTTTACTTCCCAAGCTCTCTTAGCCAGAATCTCAAGAGGTCTGGGGAGCCAGCTTCCCAAAGCCCAGTCAGAAGGCTTGGCCTTGAGCTTGCCTTTTTCTTGGTGATGCAACCCTAGATTCCAGGGCACGGCCAAGGGTGACTGCCGTCCAACAGTGGGGTGCGCTACCTGAGGGGCTGTTCATACTGGTCTCAGTTTTGTACTTCTTCATTTGAAGCCCTTTGAGAACAGAGGGAGCATTTCGTTAAAATAGCTTCAGAGCTAAGCTGTGGTCTAGCTGGTTGCGTTTCTGTGCTTATTCATTCAGTACAAAGCTGGCACTAAGAAACTGAAGTCGTTCTTTTTCAACTTTCACTTATAGACGCCTCACAACTGGCAGCAACATTCTGAAGTGCTGTATTCGTTCCTGAGTATTTTAGCTGGTTAACTTTAATACGATTAGTTGGTTGTTGCCCCATGATTGAAACACAGAGCCTCAAATGAAGAAAGTACATTCAAATAAAAGAAATACAAATTTCCTTTATATCTAGAGAAAAAAGCCAGGGGTGGAGAATAATGTACATGTAAATAGTACTTAGTAAATAATCAGAGTATGCCAGCTGAATAATGAAAAAACATGGATAGCATTTAACTTTTTCTTGCCATTGGGAAATTATACGTGATTTTATACCTGAGGATGGTTGGCACCCAGAGATATAAATTCTAAATAGGAATGAGATGATGTAAATATTTTCCTATAAAAGAGTTGAGTGAAAGTATCCAGTTAGCTGAATATGGTGCTGCAAGGAACTATAGGATGTTTGATATAAAGAGATGCTGATTTGGAGACCAACATCTATCTGTTCACGATCAAATCCCCTCACCTGACACTGTGCGTGGTGTATGGGTGGTGTTCAGCGTATGGGTCAAATGAATGACTGCAGGAGAGTGTTCAACAGCAGGGTGGTTGGTTTATTTATAATCAATTCTAACTTATTTGATCCATTTCTCTATACTCTAAGGGTAGGGTGGGTGTGCCTATTCTCTTCTTCTTTATCTGTCCAAAGCACAGTATGTGGAGGCTGCAGGTATTGGCAGAGATAAATAGAGGAGAAAGGAAGTAAGAGAAAATGAAGGAAGGAGAGAGAAAGGGAGAGAGAAAGAGAAGATACAGCCAGAATGAGAATGTGTTAACGACTGTCTGTAAGTGACATTGAGAGGCACAAGTTTTCTGAGTTGCTGACAACAGTGGTCCTCAATTCCATTTCTGGGTCTATCCTAGTGTCTGATTAACATTACTCTGCACTAAGTGTGCACTGGATGGGCAGGGTGTGTGCACAGTGCAGGTGGGATGGAATTGGTGTCACGGCTGTTGTGGGGAAGGGTAGGGCTGGATCCACAAAGAAAGGAGATACGTTAACAGACTGGGGTCAGATTGGAGTCTTAAGGGATCAGTGTGGATGCAATCTGAATTTCAGAGGAGTAGCTAAGTACCAACAGTAGAGAGTAAGTCTGGGTTACACTGGGTTGAAGGCTAGATAAAGTCAATTTTATTTCTAGAACCTATCAATTTTAAGTACTTTTTCTATGGTAAGTTGCAAGTAGGCCATGAGTATTGATGAAAATGGTGAACACATTTGGCCATGTAAGGACTGCCGCTGGCCCTGGAAGCAGACGGCTGCTGCACTTTTGCCCAGAGCGCCAGCCCCACTTGGGCGAACAGCAGGATTGTTTCTACGACACTGGATTTTCCTTCTGGGACCAGTGAGCTTTCTAGTACCTGCCAGAACTTTTCATGAAAAATGTTAAGTTCTTGTTACTGATAAGAATTGATCTGAAAAATAACTTTTGGGTGTTTTGCTCGGTTGCAGGATGAGTTTGACAAGCTGAGGCCTCTCTGCTACACCAACACAGACATTTTCCTGCTGTGCTTTAGTGTCGTGAGCCCCTCATCCTTCCAGAACGTCAGTGAGAAATGGGTACCAGAGATTCGGTGCCACTGTCCCAAAGCCCCCATCATCCTAGTTGGAACGCAGTCGGATCTCAGGGAAGATGTCAAAGTCCTCATTGAGTTGGACAAATGCAAAGAGAAGCCGGTGCCCGAGGAGGCGGCTAAGCTGTGTGCGGAGGAAATCAAAGCTGCCTCCTACATTGAGTGTTCGGCCTTGACTCAAAAAAACCTCAAAGAGGTCTTTGATGCAGCCATTGTCGCTGGCATCCAATACTCGGACACTCAGCAACAGCCAAAGAAGTCTAAAAGCAGGACTCCAGACAAAATGAAAAACCTCTCCAAGTCCTGGTGGAAGAAGTACTGCTGTTTCGTATGATGCTGGCAAGACGCTCAGAAAGGCTATATTCAAATGAAATAGATATGAGAAGCTATATTAGCTGCAATGACTCCTTTTACTGTGTAGAACCCGTATAGCGAATGTGCGTGCACTTGTATTATAGGAGGAGCTCTCAATTTATGTATTCTTTCTTGCCTTTATTTTTTTTATTGTTTGTTTGAACTTAGGGATAGAAACTTATGCAAGATATTTTTGAAGTAAGTTAAAAATTTTTCAAAGCTCTGCAAATTTAGAGCTTTAGACCTCTTGATTAACTTATACCTAATGTGAAGAAGACACCTCAAATCTGGATCTGACAAGAATGAAATTTTGCTACATTATAATGTACAGAAGAACAAAAGGGGGAATGCTATGGTTAACCCTCTCTTGATTAAGGGCTACTTAATGCACAGTGTATTATGTACATGGTCAACCATGGTAAGAACAATTCTTAGCTTCATACCTTTTTTCTTTAAGGAGCAAAAATCTAAGAAAAAATGAGAGATCTCTGCCTACAAAACCTCAGACCAGTCACTTTTGTTATTTACTAATACCCGGTTGCTTAAGATTGAAAAACAACCAACAAAAACATCCCACTGACTTTATGGCAGAAAAGAAAACCTGTTTATGGCGTTTTTCACCCTTAGACCAGTTGTGTTGAGGCTGGGTGAACATAGCCAAAGTGCCATGCAGAGGAAAGCAAGTGCTGGTCAATAGTTCTGATACTTTTCTTTAGGGAGTGATTCATGTTGAGATCAGAATGTGATATTTGCTTTCAGTACTGTAACATGTGCACCAAGCCACCTAAATCCCAGGTAATTAGAGCGCTCGGGAGCACCTATCTGAATTGTTTTTAACTTTCCGTACGCAAGTTGTTCCATCTGCAGGGAAATGAACACTCTTGCAAGGCTGACAGCAAATGTTTGTGGGACACAAAACTTATCTTTTGTTTTCTTGGCAAGTCAGCCAAAATGTACTTCTGTGCGTACACGCTCGTACCCATGCACACACGTGCCCACACGTATGTATGTATGTATGTATGGGTGTACTTGCTGCTGATTCAGGCTTTTAAACAGTTAATGGGAAAAAGCATGGCCCCAAAACAGATGTTAGGGAAGCTTCGCTGCTGCTTCTGGTTAACACTTTTTTGAACAGACATCTTATTGATTTTACCCTAGATGTGATTTTAAGTATATCTTAATATACACGTTTTTGAGACCATTTTAAAACAAAACAAAAAAGAAAATGAACATTTCTTGAAACCTGTTAAAACAGCCAGTTAAATCCACAGATGGCTTTCAGGGCACTGACAGCATGAACCAGCACTGTGTGTTCTGAGGAGTCAGAGGGCTGGGTGGCAGGTGTGGTGGGGTCTGGCGTGGCCAGCCAGGTGCATGCTGGGACCATGGCCCCATGCTTGGCTTCTTCCTTACTGTGGGACAGTCGGAAAACCACATTTGTGAAACTATTCTTCAAGGTGGCAGTTTTTAGGCTGAATCTTCTGGAGAAAAATGTACCTTGACAGGAGAGTAGTTTTTACTCTGTGGTAGGTATGCTCTGAGATGGCACAAGGCAGCCTGAACATTTTGAATTGTAATGTCAAGCTTACAGTGGGTGAAGCAGAGTCACCAAAATCACATCAATAACTAACTGCAGAAATCTCTGTAAAGCCAGTGTATGGAAGAGTTTTACTTTTCTGCAGGTTTTGTGTTGTCGTTTTTATATTTAAAAAAACCCAATTTGTGTTTTCCTATAGGAAAAGTGAAAAGATAAGATTATACTTTAGATTAGGGGCTTCTTTTATTCCTGTTAATAAATAAAGTGAGTAAGTTTCTTTGTTTAACAAAGGTTAATCCTTAAACCACTAAAATATATAGATTGTTAATTACTGAATTTTCAACACATCGAAATTGATATTGGTCCTAGTTTTCTGAAGCATTTAGTTACAACCTGAGGGAATTGAATTATTTGTGGAAATGCCTAAAATAGACCTAATTAAACACATCTCATCTTGCTGTGCCTGGCTCACCTATTTGTGGAACTCTAGGCTTCCCCATCTGGGCTTTGCCTGCCCCGGTATGCAAAGGATGGGGAGGGAAGATGAGTTATTTCACTGGTAAATAATTTTACACATTATTTTTATATTAAAGCAAATGGCATGGAGTACAATGCAGATTAAGTCTTCAGATAGAACACAAAACTTGAAAGAAGTTTTATGCATGTGACAGTGTTTGGGGCTGCACTTGGTTCCCCTGGAGGGGCCCTCAACACACTCTGCCTTTAGGCCACTGGTGGGACGTGGTTAGTGAAGGACACCCTGTGTAGCCCAGTTCTGAAAGCTTTATGCAAGCAGCATAATTTGACCAGGCTTCATACAGCTTGGACCATTAGTGCTAAAATTCTCCTGGGTTAATATTTAAATGAAACAGTTTTTAAAAAATATGTTGCTGTATTTTATAGAATAGTAAAGGTATGATTATAATTGAGATTTTTCATTTTTCTTTGTGAAAATAGAGTTTTGGGCTGAAAATTTTTCGTATGTGTTTGAGTTAAATATAAAAAGTTGGTTCATTTCAAAGCTCAAAAATTGTTAAACTTGCAGCTTGGTATTGCAGAGAAGATTTTATAAGAATTTTGCTTTAGAGAATGCCACTTTGGCTAAACTCCTACAGTCTAGGCCAACGTCATAATTTTAAAAATACCACATATTCCAAAACTGTTAATCTCTTTTTACCGTGTGTGTATAAATGGACCTTTCGTAACCTTGTTCTCTGCTTGACAGACTTAAGAGAAACTACCCAGGTATTACATAAGCCAAAATGAGAGCAAGGTCTTCTCTCCAGACTATGGTAACCTGGTGCCTTACCAAGTTGTGCTTTTCTGTTTTCATGTGTAAATGATGTTGAGGAGAATGTTGTGCTTGAAAATGCTATAAATGAGATGGTATGAAATAAATTCTGACCTATGGCCATAACTGCTTTTCCCTTTTCTACCAAATAATTTTGTTGGAAGTGTTCAGCCACATCTCGAAGCAGCACCAATTGGGAAGCATCTTGGTGTGCCCTCAGAGGACTTGTGGGAATGCATCTCTAACCAACTTTTGTTTTTTGAGACAGGGCCTTGCTCTGTGGCCCAGGCTGGAGTGCAGTGGCACGATCCGAGCTCACTGCAGCTTCACACTCCCAGGTTCCAGCGATCCTCCCACCTCAGCCTCCTGAGTAGCTAAGGCTACAGGCACATGCCACCACACCCCGCTAATTTTTTTTAAAATTTTTTGTACAGAGGAGAGCCTACTATGTTGCCCAGGATGGTCTCAAACTCTTGGCCTCAAGTGATCCTCCCGCCTCGGCCTCCCAAAGTGCTGAGATTACAGACATAAGCCACTGCGCCTGGACCCTAACCAATATTGAATGCTTATTCAATATAGGCTTTTGAAAATTCCAGGATCACTGTCTGATAACAACCATTTTCTGACTATGCATTCCTAATAGATCATGTGCTGATGTCCCAATGTGTTGGAAGGAGCACTATTCTTGGAGCCAGAAGTTCAGGCTCAGAGAAGCACTAGGGTGGAATGAAACAGACCAGCTGGGTGTGGTGGCTCACGCCTGTAATCCTAGCACCTTGGGAAGCCAAGGGGGCAGGATTGCTTGAGGTGAAGCGTTTGAGATTGGCCTGGTCACTATAGCGAGACTCCTGTCTCTACCAAAAATAAGAAAACTTAGCTGGGCATGGGATGCATGCCTGAAGTCCCAGTTACTCAGGAAGCTGAGGCAGGAGGATCACTTGAGCCCAGGAATTTGAGGCTACAGTGAGCTATGATTGCACCACTGGACTCTAGTCTGGGAGACAGCAAGACCTATCTCAAAAAAATTAAAAAGTGAAAGAAACTGAGACGGCCAGAGATCTGAGCCCAGTTCTGCATGTGTAAACAGTGCTGCCTTTCTCCCCAGGCTATGTAAATCCTGAGCAATGCAGGGTAAACATCCAAGATCTGTAAATCACCATGAATGGGGGTAGGAGTCAAAGGCACCAGGAGCCCCTAATAGCTGAAGATCAGGAGTCCCGTGTGATTTCTTCAGGTTCTTGAAGTGAGTCTTATTATGTGACCAGCATGCAGACTTTATATCGGGGACTCCAGGGAATGGGACCCTGGTGAGATGGCCATTCTGAGGGGCTGGAAGATTTACTGCTTTCATCCTCCAGCCTCAAGACCATCTAGTGAAGGATGGACCCATCCATTTTGTTCCGTACTATGCCAACAGAGGCCAGCCTACAACTTTCACAAGTATCCACTGGACATTCAGCCACAATGGATGGCAATACTGTGCCGATAACAACTAAAACTACTGGACTGCCCAATTCCACACATGGCAGGAGGTGCTGACAGCCTACTGGCTTCTCGGCCTCGATGGAGCAGCTGCTGCACCCCAGAGGGACTCAGAGGCTTCTTCTCACTCAGTCCCGACCTGCCTCCCATGTCCGGCTAGGACTTCCCAGGATACATCAGCAGAGTTCCCAATCCCTGTGCTCACTGAAGTGTTTACAGGACCCAAAGGAGTGAGGGATTGAGAAGTGTCTGGGAGAAAAGTGTTCTAAAAGGAAAGAAGGTCTGAGGGCCCTGAGGCAGAGGGGTGTCTGGTATGTCCTGGGGGCCAGTCTGGACAGGACAGAAGGAGTGCAGGGAGAAGCAGGAAGATGTCGAGAAAGTGATAATGCGGAGGGGACGGTGGCAGTGGGAGGGAGTGGAGGGGAGGCTGGGCTCTGGAGTTAGGAGGCTGGGCTTGAATCCCAGCTCTGCCACTCACTGGCTGTGATTCCTTAAGCTACTTAACCTCTAACCCCTTTCCGTCTAAGCTTTCTGACCCCTAAAGGGGATAAGCATGAGACCTACCCCAGTGGATGGAAGACAGGATCAAATGAGGTTATGAATGGAAAGTGCTAGTACACAGTAAGTGCTCAGTCAATGCTCACTCTGCTTGGTCTTCTTATAGACCTGGTCAAGGACTCCTTTTCTTTATTATTATTATTTTTTTTATTTCAGCATATTATGGGGGTACAGATGTTTAGGTTACGTATGTTGCCCTTGCCCCCCTCCCAAGTCCGAGCTTCAAGCGTGTCCATCCCCTAGATGGTGCGCATCGCACTCTTTGTGTATGCGTATACCCGTCCCCTCCCCCCTGCCTGACATCCAATAAATGTTATTCTTATATGTGCACTTATGTGTTGATCAGTTAATACCAATTTGATGGTGAGTACATGTGGTGCTTGTTTTGCATTCTTGGGATACTTCACTTAGTAGAATGTGTTCCAGCTCTTTCCAGGAGAATACAAGAGGTGCTATATCACCATTGTTTCTTAAAGCTAAATAGTACTCCATGGTATGCATATACCACATTTTATTAATCCACTCATGTATTGATAGACACTTGGGTTGTTTCCACATCTTTGCAATTGTGAATTGTGCTGCTCCTTTTTTTTAAAAATATATATTTTTTTATTTTTATTTTTTTTAGTTGCCCGGCTAGTTTCTTTCTATTTTTTTTTTTACTAGAGATGGGGTCTTGCTCTTGCTGAGGCTGGTCTCGAACTCCTGACCTCAAGTGATCCACCCACCCCGGCCTCCCAGAGTGCTAGGATTACAGGCGTGAACCACCACTCCTGGCTGAAGGACTTCTTTAATTTCCTTCACAGCAGGACACCCAGTGGATCAGCTCAGGTCCCTGAGAGCATCCCACTGAGGTGACAATTGGCTTCTAATAGTTTCCATCTTCATCTCTATTAAACTTTATGAGGCTTACCCTTTTTTACGGATAATAGCCCATTCATTTTTTCATTTCCACTCATTTTTATAAAATTAGAGCAGAATTATATAGATTACTAGAGTAGTTGCGCGGGCTGGCTCTGTGGAGCAGAGCTGCTGCTGCCCTGGTGTGAGGGTGGGGCAGGCCAGCCTTCTGAAAACCCACAAGCTGATCCTACAGGGGGCGAAGCAGCCGAGTCTGAATCAGTGTACAAAAAGGGAGCCAGTGGTCAAGGTAGCAGTGCTGGCATTACATGGAAGTTGAGAATCTCTTGGGTTCCCCAGCTCTCTACCGGGCTGTCCTTGACTCCTGTCATGCAAGAAGCTCTTGCTGCAGACTAGCACATTCTTACACTTTTCTAGTTGTTTAACAGCCTGAGTCACCCAACCACAGTTTCCCCTGTTGTCCAGCACAATGTACACAATCCTAACGGTAAAACCAAGTCTCGAAAAGGCACAGCTTGCATATGAAAAAGGCAAGTGGTCGGGAAGCTGATATCTATCTTTAAAAAGAGAACACATTCTGGAGCAGAATATCCCATCTCCCTTTGGTACTCTCCTCCTGAATGTGCCATGGTACTTCGGACTTACCTTACTGTATTAGTTTATTAGTTTATTACTGTATTACTGTACAGTTTATTACTATATTAGTTTTCTATGGCTGCTGTAACAAATTACTACCAATAGCAGCTGCAAACAGTGCAGATTTATTTATAGTTTGGAGATGAGAAATCTGACATGGGTCTCACTGGGCTAAAATCAAAGTGTCAGGAGGGCTGTGTTGCTTTCTGGAATCTCTGGGGGGGATTCTGTTTTCTTGCGTTGAATTTGGGTACCAAATGCCTGGCTTTGCATAAGATGGAGAAACATTTTCCATATGGATTTTTTTTTTTTTTTAACATTT